CAGGCTGTTTCTAAGGCCACTTAAGCAAAGGCTATATTTGGAAAGAGGGAGGTGGTCACAGTGAGATACAGACAGTTCCCTGTATGATTAAAAACTCGTCCCTGAAGTGCTGAAATGTCCTGCAGGCAGCACATGTACTACCCCGCTGACCTAAGTGGAAATTCCATGTACTCAAGCAAAGATTGAATTTAGCCAGCAAACCTCACCACGCTCCTGGTAAACCAGCACCACCCCTCCAACCAAAACTAAAACAGCTCATCAAGCAAGGCTTGTAATGATTTAAAACCTTGAGCATTGAGTAGCATGAGTAGCTAAGATAACAGTAAGAGCCCTACATAACTTCTCATCTATGATGAGTTCATCGTATTACTTATGCCAGACCTATCAGATCAGTACAATATTCCCAGTGGAAAAAGCCACTGAGCTGCTGAACTTGGCACCATGGCAGGGCACAAGAGAAGTCTCAGCTAGACCCACCATTGACATTTCTCAACTAGTGAACTAGATGTTTCTATCTCTTGGGAGAAACTATGCATAGAGAGGAGAAAGAGCAGGATTTAGTTCTCAGCTTGGTAACTGAAAATGGAGACATATAATTTTATTTGAAGGTAGAGTAGGAGGTGAGAATCTCATTTAAAGATGTGCCTTGGTGCATAAGTGTCAAACGCAAGAGTACTTTATCCAAATCACCCTATAAATCCTGGTGCCATACTAATAGGATAAATCCTCTCTTACATTCCTTCTGGGTTCAAGGCTCAGGTTCTGTGCAGTACACACCTGCTGCAGTCTTAGGTCCTGTGTCTCACTCAGTGTATGTAGATATATATGCACATGCAGATGAAAATAACCTCTGGAGGATCAGGGTTGCAAGGACAGAATGGGACTTCACAGAGCGCTAAATGAGGACTATGGATCATCTTTCAAAGTGGAGGTGGCCAAGGTCTTTTCAGAATTTGAGCCTGACCACAGCCACAGCCACAACAGCACTGAAAAACCTGAACAAGAGGATGGTCTAAAGATGGGATTTTGCTACTGGAGTTTCTGAGGAGTCCAATGATTGGTCTAGGAACCTAAATACAACCCACCAGCATCTAGAGAATAAAGGAATCTCCCCATTTGATCATTTCAGCTTCCAGATACTATTTCTGAGCCCTGGATAAAGATCCTGCCCTGTACTCTCTACTCCTAGCTTACTTTCCTTCATATGCCTGCTCAACATGTCTCATTTCCAGTTCCTCACCACCCTGCCTACTTCTCACATGAGACTTTGACTTGGCATACAAATGCTTTGTTCCCATCAGACCACAGTTTCCATCAGTCCTTGAAGCTGGACTTCAAGGTCCTTGGCCTTGCCCCTAACCCTGCTTGCCTCTTGCCCTTTGGGCTGGGGATCCACAGAGGAGTCTTGCCTCCTGGAGTTGGCTCACCCTGAATCGCTGTCAGTGCCTTGTTCCTGGTCCTAATTGCTGGGCATGCCTGCTCATATCCTGATTGAGATCCTCACACAACATGCTAGACATGCCTTCTCTTCATCTCCTTGCTACTGCTTTTCCCTAGTTTCTCTTGAGTTTTATGAGAGGGCTCACATATGTTTCCTGCTCACCTCCAAATACCAGCTAGCCGTGGGGCACTCTCTTCCCTTCCAGCCTGCTCAGCTCCTGCCTCCATGCAGCTGCCTGCTGGAGCAGCTCTGAACCCCTGGGGTGGGAGGAAGCAGAAAAGCAGCAGGTCGTGCTCATGGCAGGGAAGAGCAACGACATACTTCCCTGCTACATCATCTTTTGGAGCTACACCGTGCCTCCAAATCCAGTAGATTTCCACATGATACCCATCTGGCTCAAACTGTTCCCCAAAGTTGTAATGTGTGCTCAGGAAGGCACAGAAGATGACTGGATAAATAATACAGCAGCTATAAATTGGTCTGAAAACAGCTGCTGGAAGCAAGTAGAGAGGAGGCAAAGTTTTAGCATCACTCAAGTGATGCTCAGCAAGAAGGTGCCATATAGTGGTAGCTGCAGTTCTCAGCCCGTAATATACATCACATTCATTTCTTAGATGACTATCAAAACGGAAATAGAAACTTCTTAAAATTAAAAGGTAACTGTACCTCATGCCTTTGTGAAAGAAGAAGCAAAGGGCTGCTGATTTTAAGCAATATAGCAGCACATTGTGTCTGTTCTCATTATGCCCCCCCCTACGTGCCATCACCTTGTGTGACAGGCAATAGCTCCCTTGATAAATAGGGTTTAAAATGCAGAGAACCTGAATAAGGGAGTGTCCTGGGTTCAGCTGGGATAGAGTTAATTTTTTTACAGGAACCTGGGAGGTGGGGGGCATAGCCGGGGCAGCTGACCTGAACTGGCCAAGGAGCTATTCCATACCATGTGACATCATGCTCAGTATATAAATGGGGAGCGGGCCGGGGGGTGGGCGCTTCTTTTCGGTGGGGGAAGTGGCAGAGCGTCGGGGCCCGGGTGGTGAGCAGTTGCACTGTGCATCACTCTTTTTGTATACCTTTTCATTAGTACCGTTGTTGTTGTTGCAATTTCTTTGTGTTGTTCCAGTAAACTGCCTTTATCTCAACCCTCGAGGTTCCAGGTTTGTTTTTTTTTTTTCTCTCCTCCGTCTTCCCCCCATCCCACCGGAGGGGGGCGGGAGGAGTGAGCGAGCGGCCGCGTGGTCCTTTGTTACCGGCTGGGCTGAAACCACGACAGGGAGCAGCATCTCAAAGAGCACAACTGGACTCCACAGCAGGCACTGGGCACTCTGGGCAAATGCCAAGCATGGTGCTAAACCAATCCAAGAGAAATAAATATGGTGAAAAATTACTCCTCTTTGTACAACCTGCAGTGAGCAGGGCTTGGCCAACACTAAGAGACCTGCTCCTCTGTGGCCACCTGCACTTCTGCAGAGCGGGTGTGAAGTGTGGACAGATGGTCAGTTGTGATAGTAGTATTTGACACCCTCCAGCTTTGTGCAGATGTAAATGCCTTCACCAGGCGTGACGCTCTGTGATGGTGGTCAGGGCAGGCAGTGGGTGTTTTAGAGTTCACTTGTGCTAGCCCCTACACCTGTTTTACACTGGTGCAGCTCTGGGGAGTTACTCCCAGAACACTGGCATGGGAGTGTGGGGGCAGGATCCAGGCTGTCTGGCCCCCACAAATCATTCTGGTGTATCTGTTGCGCTCAGTGAAGGATGCAGCACTCTTCTGGATAGTGGAAAGCTTACAGCACGGTGTTGCAGTAGATTCGAATGAGGGAGAATAAGAGCTGTGCTATAGGCACAGTGTGAAGTGTACACAGTGGTTATATGGATGCAAGCGAGAGGAAAATGGGAAACTGTTGAGGATTTCTTGGCTGGGCAAAGGCATGTGAGCAATCCAGCTGTTATGTGGGAACGAAGCATAAGTTTACAAAATACTGGAGCAGACAAGGACGCTGTGTCCTTGTACGCTGGGAAAAAGGAAGATAAGAAGAGCCTGACAAACAACACCTGGATGCTGAAGAATGGGATAAGTAACTGTTGGACACCTCGTGAAGAAGCTTGCTCAGCCAATAGAGAATAAGATAGTGTCGCGTGAAACGGGGTATTGTACCAATTAGAGTATTGTATAAGACGCGTGGACAAGTCAGTCTTGTATAAATGTCAAGACGTCTGAACAGTAAACGAGCAAGATGTTAACTCATATTGAGTGTGATTCTTGACTACGGCCATTCCTCCCGACAGGAAACTAGGCCAGGAGATTGCCATACATGCCCTGACTCCAAGCAGGGTATAAAAGCTGAGTATTGCCCATAGGTATGTTACAGCACTGTTACAGGATCTTCCAAGCACTACTAGGGGTTAATGCTTTGTGCTTTCAACCCACTGGGAAGGTTTATACGCATTTGGTGCAGGCAAAACCAACTGCAAAACCTAGGAAAAATGGAAAGTAACTGTCTCCTGATGTTCCTTTGTATCAAATTTGCTTGCAATTTTCAGTGCGGATGATTTTCTACTACAATCACAGCTGTGTTTTGATCCCTCCCCCCCCCCCCCCCCGACTCTAGGTTTATTCAGTAGACAACTTGATTTTGATCCAACGTGAAATAGGAAGACACTGTTTTCTGTAGGATTTCTGCTTTACATAGAAGCTGAAAGGTATGTGCATCTTTGAGTAATCCAGTAAAATGAGATATGTTCCCTTCATCCTAGAACCAGAACCCAACTGGGTATGGGGGGAAAAACAGGGAGAGTAATCTCATAATGAACAGGAGCTAAAGGGGAGTCATTTGCATGTATAAAGCTGCACCAAGTGCAGGCAACCAACCTTATTTCTGTCATGAATCAGGAAATTGGTTTCCTTGCTATTTGATTCTGCTGGGTTTCCCACACCCATTACACAGCTACTTCCTAGAACTGTCTAAATAGTTTTCTAGACTTTGCGGTTTTCCTACTACTTCTTGTTTCATGCATACCATTATTTTTCTTCTGTGCTTTCTGATGTATTATTCGACTGCCTGGCATTTTAGGAATTATGTATGAGAGCCTAGAGGACACTGGGTCCTCTAGTGGAGGGGGGGGCAGAAGGAAGGTGTAAAACAGAGCAAGATCCAAGAGAGATTTTGAGGCATTACCTCATGTATGTACATGTTCCTGAGAAACAGAATATTGAGATGGTTTTATGAATTGCATTAAAATGCAATAGGAGGAGGAAGGGGAACGGATGTTGATTTGAACAAAGAGGAGGAAGAAGCGAGGAACCTATGGAGTGCTACATCTTCCTGGAAACTGAGGCAGTTACTGCAGGAGGCCTGAGGAGCAACCTTTTCCTTTCCCCTCTCCTCGGGTCTGGTGGCAGTGCTATCTGAGACTCTGCCCTCTGGGCCGTTAGCTATTAATAACTGCAGGATGCCTGTGTGAGCAGCCTTCAGGAGTCAAATTCACAGCACTTTGCATCAGCAGTTTGTGCTGGGCACAGCTTGCCTGCGCCCAGGCATCCTGGGTGAGCAGGGCTACTGGACAAGCCTGCCCAGCAGCACCCAGAGACGGGCTGGAAGGAAGCAGCCCACTGCTGAGCTGTGGGGCAGGCGAGTGAACTGGTCTGAGCCTGGCACTGCAAACCTGAGGTGAGTTGACTGGGCAGCAAAATGGTTTAGAGCAGGTGCTGGAGAGGGTAAAGACTGGTTTGGTTTGCAGCAAAAACAAGGAAATGACTTCTGCAAAGACCAATGCAGAAAAAGCCAGAGGAATTGAACCAAGGGATACAGCGCAGGGGAGAACAGGATAATTGTGGCTCTGGCTTTATGTATGGGATAGTTGGGAGGATGGGGGCTAAGGCTCCAGCAGCCTCACCATGATGAAAGAGCAGTAGTCCCAGTGTAGCTCTTGACCCTGTCCATAGTGAAAGACTGCTGCCCCTTTCCTTACGCTAGACCAATTGCATGCAGCAGGTTTTCCACTCCTCAGTCCTGCGGGATTAGTAAAGGAGGACAGCAGAATGGGGCAGACTTGCCCTCACTGCTCCTTGGGAATGGGTGTGCTAGAGGAGCACAGGTCCTCCCCACCAGGGCCAGCCCTTTCTGTCTTGCCCCAGGGAGTCCATGTTTGGGGTATACAGATGATTTCCCTCTGTTTTGCCAGTCTTATGACCCATCAGATGGGCCATAACCTCCCACCCCTCCGCCCGCTGGCAGCATTGCCCCTTTCCTGTCAAGCAGGGCCTGCTTCTTTTATATAGCCAAGCAGATGTCTGGCTGCTCGAGGAGAATGTGCAGCGTGTGCTTTATGGCTGCACCTGCTCACGCGTGCTTTGGGAATACACCAGGATGGGCTCTTCTATGATGTGAACTACGTAGGCAGCATCTCAGTAAAAAAGGAAAGCTTGGGAATCTGAAAGAAAAACTAATCTGAGAGAGTATCTGCCAATGTGATTGTAGCTGGTTTGCTGTGGCTGGGCTTCTTTTAGCAGTTATCATCACCTCATCACATGAAAATCATGTTGCAAAAGGAGCAATGATAGAATGAAACTGCAAAACACACAGTAGATAAAAATGTCTTGATCACAACAAGGGCAGCGTACAAACTCCTAGAGCCAGCTGTTTGCTTGCTAGTTTTAAAATATAACTCATAGTTCAATGTCTTCAGTTCTGAAATTTTTAGCAACTAAAGTGCAAAGAATCACAAAGACAGAAAAGGTTAGTTACTGCTATTGCTGAAGCCAACGGGCCTTTGCTCATTTTTTTTTGTGTTGTGTTGTATTAGGCAAGGATCTGTCCCCCTGTATGCTGTTGTTTGGGTACGGACAGTATTGAAGTGAAGGCAAGACATGTGCCCTACTTGCATTATGTGTGATAAACCCCAAGGACTCTGAGAAGCTGCCTGAAGTGGAATTGCTGAGATTTCTCCTAATTTTCCCTGACTTTGCAGTACAGATCTCTCATCCTATCTGGGGACAGAGATGGGGAACACTGTACCAGAAGAAATCTCCCTCTTCCCCTCCTCCACCCTCCAAAATAATATGCGATAAGATCAATACATAATATAGAGGTGCAAGTGACTTCAAATTGGGTGAAAAACTTTTCCTTTAACAAGTTTGCCTGTGCCTTGTTCCTCCAGCCCTTCTGTAACAAAACAGTAGCAGTCATAAAAGACAGAATTACTTAGGAGTTTGGTTTGTTTCTTTTTTTTAACAGAACATGCAGTTTAGTGGTTTTCTGAATACCTATTCTAATTCTAATAGGACTAAATATCCAAACCAAAATTGCACATTATTCAGAAAGCTCCCAAATAACTCATGGACAGATACAAAATCTTTATTCAAAAATACTATTACCATCTAATGATAATTGCATGGTATTATAATATGGTATGATAGAGCAAATTTTCAAACTGTCATTTTGTTACTGCAGCACAAGATGATAACAGAGTACCACTGTGGCACACGTGGGTGATGGGAGACTGCCATACTGCAAATAAAATGCCTATTTTGGATGACAATGCTATATGGCACCTTGACAATGCTTCTGCTGTGATCTGCTGCCATATTTTGTGTCATAATGCTAAGTCTCCAGAGAACACCAAAATGGTCTGATGATGATATTCTGTATGGGATGATAGCATTCACTAGCTCCTTCATGTGGAAGGGGTAGAAAAGAACCTGTGTGTGACATGAAGGCTGTGTATGTCGTAACTGTAGAAGGCAACTAAAAGACAGGCAAGAAATACCTTTCTAGTGTTTCATTCTCCATTTCCTTGTGTGTTTAGAGCAAAGCAGAGAACACTTTGTGGGAATGCCCCTTGCAGGGACTCCTGCTCCTGTTAAAAGGAAAAAGTCCACTAAACTCATTGGGAAGCTGACACACGAAGGTAAGATATGCAAACCTGCACACGTGAGAATTGTTTGGATTTCAACCTGAATTTCAGCTTTTAAAATTTCACACCCTGTCTGACTGAACTCCCAGAGCGAGACATGCAGTGAACATACCAGGAGACAGACCCACAAATATTACTGAAACTCAGCCTTCAACCACATCACATTTTCTAGTTTACGGTTCAAAAGCATTGCACACACACTCAGGCCAAACATTGAACTAAATTGCATTTTGTAAACCCATATCCTCCTGCAGCATTAATTTGGATGCACACCAGTGTGAATGGAAAAAGAACATGATCTGTTATGGGTATCAATATTGCAGTGCCTAGTTATAATCTACGTTTTTTCTCTCTCTTATAACCTTTGTCTCTAATTTGTTTTTCCTCTACGTGAGAGAATTCCTTTGATTCCAGCACTCATTAGTTGAAAAAGTCAAAGTCTCTTAGAGGGGGTAATACAGCAGGAAGAATATAACTTGGGACACTTTCCTTTCCACAGAATACCTGTGTATTGGGTAGGGTGACTTTTAATTAACTGTGATATCCCTATCTTCTCTTTACTTTTGACAGCATGGGGAAGATTTTTAGAGGTTTTAAAAAGTAATAATTCAGTGCTGTCCCTTTCTTCAGCCCCCAAAAAGGGCTGTAGAAACTTCTTTGCTAGGGTACAGGTATATATTTTTCTGTTTGTCCCTAATCCTTTATTCAAGTTAACAAATAAGTAAAAATTCAATTTGCAGTTAAAGGACTTTTCGTCCTGTGCTATGAAAGAGTGCTATATAAAATTGGCTTGCTAAAAAAATAATAATTTCTTCAGAGATTGTCTAATAAAACAAATGGGCTTATACCAGTTTTATACCAGTTTAAGGATGGAGGTTCACTCTCTGTTGGAAATGAGATGTAGAGGTGGATAAGTGGTTTTAACCTTGCTTAGGAAAAGTTGCTTGTTTCTGAATGAAAAGCTTTAACTGCATTCCTGCAAGATTTTTACACTGAAAATGTTTGAATTCCTTGCTTTGATGGAGAATTGGTGGTACCAAATTAAATGGAAAAGGACTTATCGAGTAACAAGCACATTAACACTTGAAGAGAACTTCAGCTACTTTTTCCTTTAGAAATTCTCCTTAAAACAAACAAACAAAAAGATATAATAACCTTGAATCTTGCCATGGTTTCAGGATAATGTTTAAACCAAAGCATGCCAGAGTTGTCTTTATTTATTATATGTTGGCACAATCCGAAGAGCTGAATGCCACTCATCTAATTCCAGAGGAGGGGAGGCAAGTGTAACCAGACAAGGCAGTGGTGCATTTTGAGGCAGTACTAAGGAATCCTGCTGCGCTGCCTGAGGTGCTTCAGATGTGGGACATGTGCATCTAGCTCCACCTTTACGCAACTCTTCTCTGTGTAGATTTGTCTCAATTGCAATCCATAGTAAATTTCACCCATCTATATCCAAAGTGTCATCAATGTAAAAATTTGGTGCATAGGTTATTTCCTAACAACTTAATTTAGAAGATAATTTGGCTGCTTTGAAGACACTACTGATGCTGGGAAGCAATGGCCAAGCGACTTGGACCAGAGCACTTCCTAAAGCGTCCCATTTCTTATGTTTTGTAGTCATGCCACAAGAGGTGTCCAAGCTGAACTTGGGAAAGAAGATCAGCATCCCCAGAGATGTGATGCTAGAAGAGCTTTCTCTCCTCACTAACAAAGGATCCAAGATGTTCAAATTACGTCAGCTGAGGGTGGAGAAGTTCATTTATGAGAATAACCCTGATGCCTTCACCGACAGTTCTGTGGTAGGTCGGAGATGAAAACTAAAAAGCTGCTCCATACACCCAGGGGAAACAGGAATGGAGTGTGCCCAAGCTCTCCTCTGTATGTGCATGGGCCGGGGGCGTAGGGATCTACTAGCAAAGTAGTGCAGGAAAAAGACAAAGTAATATAAAGCCACAAGTTTTATTTCTTTTCGGCATCAGCACTACTTTCCTTTGGCAAATACTTGGTTTCACACATGCAGAAGCGTGAGAAAATTCAGTACTGAGTGACGAGGGAGGACTGCATGTTTGGCACGTGTTCAGAGCTGCACAAGGTGGGACTAACTGGTTTTGTATCCATTCCGTTTCTTCTCTGCAGGATGGAAATGATCCATCCAGGTCTGACTTCAGCTCCAGTAGGTGCAGTTCTATTTTTAGCCTAGGATACCCTTTTATGCTTCCTGCTGGGCAAAGTCCTCTGCTCATTTCTGCAAGATGTTCCACAAATGAGAATTCAGACAGAAACCTCTAACCTGACACTGCAGTATCTTCAATTCATTTGCGAGAAGCTATGTTTGTTTTCTTCTAAAGTATTTTTCTATCAGATATGGTATATAAATTCAGCCATTCTTCTTCTTCTTCCCTTTCCCATGAGTTAGTACTGTTATTTAATCTTTGAACTTCTCTCTACATTAGTTGCTGGTGTAAAGTCTTCTGAAGATACTTAAACTTTTACAAATTAAACTCTCCTTTCACACAATTGTCAGCAATTCAGTAAAACGAATAGAAAATTTTTCAGGTTCATATGCATTTTGATGTAGAATCTTGTCTTCTGATGTTATTTAAAATTTATTTGGTGTCATTTTATCCCTTTATGGCATCTATTTTCCAGTCCAAGGAAACTCAAGCAAAATAATAAAAGTCAAGCTGAAGAAAATGTTCTGCCAAACAACATGCTATTTTTTAGCCCTCTGATGTTTTTAAAAGCAGCAAGAAGTAAATCTTTGTAGTTCACTTCTAAAAATGACAATTTGGGAAGCAGGATGTGGAAAGATGCCTGGGGGAAAAAAAAAGGTCATTAAAAATTACAACAGTAGGTCAGATTACAGATCAGGGATGACAGACTGGAGATATAGCAAGCATATCTGGTGTTAGACATTGGGCAGTTTCTTCATCTCTTTGTGCTTTAGGTAGTTCATCTCTTCAGTGAGCTATCTCCTAGAAAGGATGTGAGAATGAATGGTGTGTTGAACTTTGGACTCTTCAGATGAAAATCTTAGAGAAATGCAAGCTGTTTTTATAAATACTCAGCAATCTCAGAGCTCCTAAAACATATGAGGGCCAAGTTCATATGTCAAAATCTGCTGCAGTGAGGAGGAGTGAGAAAATAATAAGGTGAGGGAATAAAAAAGCTGAAGTCCAAACTTATAAAATTTGAGGGTCACTTAAGGGTGTCCAATCAGAGAAATACAAAGCGAATGAGCTTTGACAAACTGACTCAAAACTGTACATGCAGAGAGTCCCTCCAGGACTGACTTTACAAAGGCTGATGACAATCAATTCTTTTTTGTTAGCTGTTTTTCCTACTTTGTTTATTCACCCGTGCCCAACTTTCACACCATACCCTTTCTGTAGTGCATCTCTCCCTCTATTCTGTAAGAATACCCCTGCTGCCAAGCTCTTTGAACAACACTGTAAGATACTGTGCTGTGGAGAAATGTACTTGGGGGTTAGACAAGACCCTAAGAAGCCTAGGATTTTCTTTATGGCTTTGCTATATGAGAACAACGGAACAGTCTCCAAACAGCAGCTGATACTCTGCTTTAAAATCCTCCATGATTCACTTTCAAAGCTATCTTTTCTCCACATTCATGGTACAGATAACAAATCTCCACTGGTCAGTGCAGGAAGACTTAGGTCAGCCCTAGAGCCTTTGCCTGGGGCCAGCTTAGCAGGATCACAAACATAATTGTTACCATTTGCTGGCTGCCCTGTGCGCTCTGTGCAAGGACTCTGCCAGGCTGCATCCACTGCCTCTGGAGATAACTATTCTCATGACCACAGCCAGTATGAGTTAGCACCTTTGCTGGCAGTCAGAGCAGTGAGAAGAAAAGCTGAGTGATCACAGCAACTGAGCCATCCTCTCAGACAGCTGGTTGCTCTTGGGCGGGTAAAGGCAACAGATCTGTGGCCTCACTGTTATCTTCCAAACCAGAAGGACAGTGCCTGACCTTAGCATCAAATAACTTTCATCAAAAAGCCCTTTTGATTGCAATATTTTATTAGCTTTCTGTTCCCTTCCTTTGTTGCTCCTGGCTCTGCTCAAAGGCAGATGCAGAAAAGAAGGCTTAAACAAAAGGGAACTGTGGGAGGAAGATAATGGCAGAGTAAAGAATTCCTACTGCTACTTCCAGTTATTTCCCCCTCCCAGTTAATTTCCATGTCCTTTTCTCCCCATCCCAAAGAAGTCCTTGTGCCTTTAAGGCTGTGGGACAGTGAAGGGATTTAAAGCTGGTCGTGTTTTCTGCTTTTATATCACAGATTTCTTAACTATCAGAATATTCTCAGGACACGCTTAGCAAAGCAGGTCAAGAAAGTTCTGGGATGGAGTGCAGATGGCTTCTTTCCCCCAAAAGTTTAACAGCAAGGTAATGTAATATAAAAACACACAAAGAGAAAGGTTATTAAAAATAAATCTAAACCATATAAGGGGTCCCAGAATAGCCTGTGCTGTAGCCATAAACCTTCCACACAAGGGAGAAGATCTCAGCAGTCACATGTCATCGATCACCCTCCTGCTTCTCTCCTCCTCCTTCTGCAGCCAAACAACCACACTGGACAATCAGATCACTTTCCTTACCTTTGGAGGAGAAAACATATATACGGTGTGTGCATGAATGCCAGATAGCTCCATGCAAAAGTGAAAACCTGCCACTCTATGACTGATGCGGCTCCACCCATCCAGTTAAAGGCAAACGGTAGCTAAACCCACAGTCAAAAGGACCGACCATTCCCAACATGAGCAAAATGAAATGCACTACCTACTGCATAGCTGTTTTCAAAACTGTGACCCTCTTCTCTTGCAAATATGCAGTGCAAGGGGATGTTTTTAGGGAGGGCTGAGTTTGACACTTTTAGCACACGGATACCCTGCCAAACAGGGAGGGTTCATGTGACATCCTCCTTGTTTGGTGCTGTGCTGGAGAAGCTGGGCTCTGCTGAGCCCTCTCTAGTAGATCAGAAGAAGGATTTCTTCTCCTCACCAGGCTGTGCCACCCTGTCGCAAGAACTGTGGTTCTCTCCATGTCTTAGAGGATATTATCAACCTCACTGTGGAGCTGCAAGATGCTATTCACTACTGACTAAAGACCATGATGAAATCCTATCTATCTTGCTATGTGCTCTATTACTGTAGCATCTGACCAACTATAGCATGAAGGAAATTACTACATTTATTTTTTAACAGTGAAACTGAACCATAGAGTAGATTAATGAATCACCCAGAGTCATAGAGAGGGTCTCAGTCTTATCTCGGGGTCTCCTAAATCCCACTTCACTGTTTAGCAGTTAATAGATCAGCAGTTCAGAGACCTTTTCTCCACTTCATAATGCTAAATTTGTTTGGCCTCAAACACATCAAGATCATGTGAAACTATGCTTCTTAGCCTTACAGCTCCAGTCATTATTGCCCTAACTTCTCTCAAGGTCCCCCAGCCACTTTGGGAACCTCTGTGTAAGACCTTCTTGCTATCATCAAGAGTAAACTGAAAACAAAACCATAGTTATGCTTTTTGGGTGTTGCTGTTACACTGCTTTTCTTCCAGTGAGGATCCTTAAAAATAGTCTTTCTGCTAGTCAAAACCAGTGGCCTGATTTGGGTTACATGCAGGAGACAGTTTAGAGAAAGATTTGATTTGCCTCCCCCCACCCTTTCTGCTTTACATACCGGATCTTAAATTAAAACGATTGTGAAGGTGGAATGACCAATATCTGAGTAGACAATTATCAGCAGTAGTACATAAAAAAACCAAAGACCCACAAACAAAAAAACCCCCATGTTGATACTTTCTCAGACTCACCCACAAGTTAAAATAAATGCCATTTCCACATCTTGGCAGTGTTTGTATGAAAACAAGCTGAATGTGTGTTGCCAAGTAATTTCTGCTGGTCTTCAGGTCAAGAGATTTCTTCAGATAAGCTAAGCTATCAACTGTGAAACAAAACAGAAGAAGTGAAAAAGGGTTAAAGAACTGGATTACTGTTCTTCTGGATAATGGCAGGAGTTATCCTATATTCCTTTTGCTGCTGAACAAGAACTCAGAGGAGTAAGCAGAGGTTGCAGGAAGAAAATGGAATTGGTTATGTTACAACACCAAAAGTGGTGCTTCACAGCAGATGGAAGTACACAAACAACCTACCTCAGAGATCTTACATGTTAAATAGCCAGACATGATACAGTGTGTGAAGGAAAGCATAACGACAGAGGAACAGAGATATTATCATGCAGCTACTTGTTTTAATGCACAAGCGTGCACTGATGGCTGTTTGCCCATTAGTGTACTTAGAAGAATGCCAATCAAGATCACTGGAGGTAGCGTTTAGGGGAAAATGTTAGGAAAAGCAGTCTTTCTAGGAAGTCTGTTCTGCAGGGAATATTAAACCTCTTGAACAAACATTACAGGATAACCACGAGCTGAGATACGAGAGAGCCTCAGGTTATGACCTAAGTGGAGCAAGCCAGCTGAGATGTAACTTTTCCAACAAAATTAGCTTAGCTGTGCTGGAGTTGGATTGGTCTAGAAGACCTAGAGGTCCCAACTATACCCAAAGCTGTGTAAGAGTGAACATGAAGTCTGATGCCTTCTTACTCAAGAATTGAGTGGTGTGGAAACAGCAGAATGACAGAGAGGAAGAGCCTTTTATTTTCCATAGCAGTTTGTTAGAGCACCGTGACAAAACTTTGGACTGAAATTCTGAAACTCAGTTTCTTTCATCCACAAAGAAAATGTGGCAAGTATGACATAAAATATACAAATAAGATATAAATAATTTAGGGTAGTATTAGATAAAAATTCCTATTATTTAGATGGGTAAATTCAGGCATAGAGGCAAAAAATAATTTGCCTAAGATTGAACAGCAAGTCAGAAGTAGACCTGAAAATAGAAAGCAGGAGCTGTCACGGCTGAATGGTGCCTCTTTGAGGAGCATGTTTAAAAAAAAATTAGCTTAAGATCCTTCAACAGCTGAGGTTACTTTTTATTTTCATCCTTTTTTTTTAAAGTGAATCATAGGTTTAAGGCAGTGCAATTCCAAATTAAGGACCGAGGCACACACTTTGATAAAAACAGAAGGCATTCTATGAGACTCTCCAAGTGTCTGAATTTTAAATCTCCCATCCCACAGTTATGGAGCATTTGAGTGGCTGCCACTGAGAGGACACAGTCACAGTAACTTCAGAAGTGTTAGTAACCACATAGGCATCAAACCTTTGGGAAGCTCTTTATCAGTGAGGTGGAAATAGAAACACATTTGGTGGCCTCAATCATTCTCTTCAAGGCACAGCAAGGAGCTGACGGGGAGCACACAGTGTCTCCTCCCGGGGACTGCCTGCAGTGACATCAGGGCGTTGAGATACTTAAGAGATCTCAGCTCCATTAGTTGGATCATCTTTCATTATCTATTTTTCCTAAGACATGCAGTAGCCCTAGAGAATTCAGAATTTGTCCATCTAGGCACTCAGCCTGCGGGGTCAGGCTCTTGCTAGCCCTAAGGACTTCAAAGACATGAGCCCAATTTGTTTAGCCAACCCAGGGGACTACACATCACATGAACTTGCCACAATTGTTCTCTTGTTAGAGTGGATTTAGGGACACCCAGGGACTGATAACATCCACTACCTCTAGCAACGCACCAACAGGGCTGACCCTACCACAGAGGAACTGCGTGATCTGCACCCAGAGCCAACAGGAGAAGGTTATCAGCCTTCTTGGTTGACACTGCTGGACTTCTGGGGCTTCCACCAACAGGGTCAATCAACCCTAACTGAGAGGTCGGTTTTGTGATGCAAATATGCATATATGTAAAAGCTCCACATGCTTTAGCAATGGCCCAAGACATGCGTTCCCCTCAAGTGTAAGCCGTATTTCACTCCAAACATCCTGACCAGAGGCATGCTGTAAGTACTGGAGACAAAGCCGCACCTACCCAGCTTTGACTATGTGAGACTCCTGCTTGAAACTGCTGTTCCTGAACTCCACTCTCTTGGAATGAGCTCATTTGAATCTACCGAGGTTCAAGATTTCAAAAAGATGAATTTGCCTTTGCCTCCTATTAATTTGAGCTAAGACAATCTCTTGTGGTGGCCAAAACTAAAGAAAATTACATTTTTATTCTAGCAGGTGAGTAGACTGGGGTATTGCATGGAGAATGGGTCTTTCCCACCTGAATGGAGATGTCTGCTGAACATAGGATGTTTTCCCAGTGGGTCCATGAAGAATCATGAACTAGCCTGAGACCAATCAAACTAATTTTATTTGCAGCTAAATAAGACTTAGGTGTGGCCTTGCTGAGGCAGACCTTTTGTTTCAGAGAAACTTCACTCCTTCTTGGTGATAATACTGCAACTTAAAATGACAGCAGATGACAATGATGACCCTTCCTGGTCACATGAAATACTGCTATGCAAAAAAACAAACCAGCCTGTTTTACTAATGTTATGCTGATGTTTTGATGTAGAGTGCATGTAAGTAACCAGAGGAAAAGATAAATAAGCATTTAATTCTCAGGAAGAGAACACAGCATGGGTGAAACTTGAAGGAAAACAAATGCAAATCCTGCTTTGAAATTACTGAGCAAATCAGTAGAAGCACTAACCTTGCAGATATATTAACATTTTGAGAATAACCTCAGTCTGACCCCTAGCCCTCAAAATACCCTTTTTTCAGTTTGCCTTTTTACAGCTACATAGCTCCCATGCATAATTGAACAGATTGCCCTGCTAGCTCCTATGTACAGCTTAATGCTCACAATCCTCTCCCTTCTCAGTGCTTCATGACATTCAGGGGACCATCATCTCCTCTGTTCCTAAAAAGGGAATTCCCTACAGCTAGGAGAAGGACAGACAGTCCCTAAAGGCCCTGGGGGCACCAGCTCTGCCACTTCAGCCTGCAGCTGGCTGCCTGCCTGGGTTGCAGCCTGGTGACCTGCTGTGAAACCCTGGACACTGTTGCTGGAGACACAGGGAGCGGAGGGTCAGATAATTCTGCCTTGAGCCTTGTGGGGTTTTCACTTCTCATCTATTTTTAGCTGACCGAACAGCTGGCCTTGGAAGCCTGTTTACAGCCTGGAAAGCTTCTTGTTGCTGAACTGTACTAGGTGTAAGAGCCCTGAGAAAGCCTTAACCCTTTGAGACCCAGCCCTGAGGCTGGCACTCTTGTCTCCCATTGACAGCCTGAGATGAATTTATGCAAACAGAATTGCAGCATGAGGAACCACAGATTCATTCACTTTAGCTGTATTTGTTATATCTTTGTGCAGCTATAGCCAATCCCCTAGTCCAACAGGAAAGACCATACGTGATATATAACCCATGTTACTTGTAATACACAAGAGATACTTTTTTATATCTGTTAGGATTCAAGCTTTGATCTCACTGATGACCAATACATAAAACATTTTTGCAAACATATTATATCAGTTTCTGTTCCACACAAGTACTTATTAAAATTGCTGTGTGCGAAGACAGGACCTTGTGCTAGCACCACAGAGTCTATAAATCCTGCACAGACAGTTTGCTCTTTCACTATGTACTGCAGGGATTGTGCCTTCTAACCTGGACTGGGGAGAGTGGATGGCCTGGAAAATACGACCAACTTGATTTTATTGATGGATACAGCTTGCTTTCTTGCCTTGTTGCTGGTTAGATTTGGTTCATTAACGCACTTATTGCAACAAACAAAACTCTTCCTTTTTGTCATTTTCCTCTTTTGGTTTCCAGGAAGTCTTTCATGTTTTCCCAGGCTGCTCTCTCTTCAGTCTTTCTCAACATGTAAATACCCCTCCCCATACAGACCTTTATATATATATAGAAAATAGACATATGGGCAGTCATCTTCCAGGCTTTTATGTTGTCACAGTTACCCTTTTGTTCTGGTGCCCTTTAACACTTAGCTCCCACACTGTAATGGAGCTGACTTGGCTGGGCTACCCTAACCTCGACATGAAAACATTTCCTATTTCTTGTCCAGCTTGCTTTCCCACAGGTTAGCCAATGTATCTCCATCTGGACCTTTACCTACTCTGGCAAAAGCTGCATTTCCTTTCCCTTCCTCCTGTATTTCATACTGATCACTGTTGCGGACAATACACAGATCCCTCTCTTCTCACCCTGATCATACAAAATGACTAGGAGGCATCCATTAAAAGGTGTGCTACCATTGCCCTTGCTGCTGTTCTACAACCACTCCTATAGTGAATACAGAGAATAACTTACATGAAGTTCTGCCACTGATTTTGTAACTCAGACACAGCACTGGTCAGATCATGGAGACCCAGAAGTTCACATTCTAGGACCCAACCCTGCAAATGTGAATGGACCGTGTCCAGTAACAGGGATTCCTACTCTTTTTTCTCCTGCCCTAGGATCACTTTCAGAAGTTCATCCCACCAGGAGGGCATTACGGGGAAGATGCTCATGGCTATGCCCATGGGCGGATGGTAGGAGGAGTGACAGCGGGTCAGCATGGCTCCAGTAAGCAGCAGTATCCTGCTGTTCCTCCTAGGCCTGGAAGCAAAGGAGGCCCTGGGGACAGTGAAGGGGACCGTCCAGGAGAATCGGCTGGAAGTGGTGGAGGAGGCGATGGTACTGGGAAAGGCAAGTATCTCTCTGCAAGAATAAGAAATAGCTAAAGCTGTCAGAGCTCATGCCAACCTTACTCTTAGGGACAAGTAAATTAATTTGACGAAAACCTGAATTCTTCCAAACTAAGTTCCATTGCAATGTCCAGAAAAGTTGAACTGCCTTTAGCTTGATAGTTTTGTTTGCATGCTTCTGTGTTGCTACATCACAGCAATGAAGCAGAAATACCTTCACTGGCTGGACCAAAGAAATGATAGGGAACTTAACTACTGGGCTCCTAAGGTTGATACAGCAGTATGCCAGTATGGCATACCCTTTCCATTCAAAGGTTTCACGCTGACCACTACTGGAGACAGTATTAACTCTAGCTCAGTAGTCTAACCTGACACATCAGTCTTGAGTATATCAGCCCTAATTTCAAATCAAAGCTTCCATCTAAACAAACAGCACTTTTTGGATAATCTTCAGAAAGGAACAGCAATATTTCTAAAACTTATCTGGTAATCACCACCGGTCTACTGAAGCAGTATCTGTACAAGTAAAAGTATTTTTCATTGAATTTAGTCTTTGCTTAATTTTATCCTTTGTTTAGTCTGGCCAGAAACCTCTAGAACCAAATTCCTTGTATGTGAATCAGCAGGTGAAATTGTTATTTTAACAGTCCCTATGGGATTTTACAACAAAAAGCAAATTTGCTTGGGAACCAGGAACCACTGTCATAAGTAACCAAATGAGTGACTTGTAAAATCCAAGGTTTTTCATTTACATTCTGGAAGAATGTGCATTTTATATCAAAATCATCTTTTACATTTCTGGGCATCCCTGTGAAAAAGAAATCTGTGTAGACTCTCTGTCTTCTTACAGGAGATTTTTCTCCATTGTTATCCTATTTCTGTGTGCAGGGAGAATAAGGATTAATATCATCCTATAGCTTTTACTGCAGAGCTGGATCCCAACTACTTTTATTTTTCAACCCTAACAATCAATTTACTTCTAAATTACTTAGTTTAAGTAAGTCCTTCACACAGAAAGAGGGGCGTAATGGTTTTTATCTTCTTTATGAAAATGAGGTTCTTGTACACGTCTGCAATTCTCTGAAACCAGGGAAGCCCAGGGTTTGGCAAGGTTTGAAGAAAATAAGCAAGACAAAGAAAGAAGGTGTGATAAAGAAGAAAGTTTCAGATGAGAGTAATAGGGTTCATTTACTTCACATGGACTTACATTTTCTACACAAACTGGCACCATGGAAGCACCAGTATGTCTAACTCCATTAACCTATTATTCCCATCTGCCTTAATGAAGTGAAGCAGAAGTCATTGCTCAGGAGTTTTAAGGCTTATGAAGGATGAGAATCTTAGAAGTGTGCTACATATCAATACACAACCAACGGTCTTATTAGCAAGGTGGTATTATACACAACTGGAAGAAAAAAGAAAAAGAAAAAAATAAAGGAAGAGACACGCTGAATGAAAACCCTTGTCTAAGCTCGTTTGCTTAATGGTGCAGGCAGAAGCTAACCTAAAATTTCTGGCAATCAAGTATCTGACTTAACAGCAAAGCGCAGCTCTGTCATTGGCAGGATTTTAACTTCCAGAGAGACACCCTGTCATATTTTCAAACTGCTTTTAGCCATCCTGAGGTGTTTGACCCAGACTTGGCTCTAACATCCTGGTTCAGGAGGGGGGAAATATGAATGTCTGTTCATTGAAACACTAAGAAAATGCCAACTTACAAAAATACTGAGACAAGGGAGATGGTCATTACAGAACATTCAAGAATAGACTACTGAGGAAGATGTTAGTAAAGATGGTTGTGGGTTGCCAAGACCTTGAGATACGATGGTTAAAGGTTTTCGGTCAGTTAGAGCTAACTTTGAAGTTTGAGCCTAGTTTTGGAGTTTACAGTCTGGGATTTATTTGTTGCATCTGATGATGACAGTGAGGTTTATATGGAGGGGTTATGTCTGCTATGATCAGACAGAGAAGAGAGAAATAAATTATGAAATTAGATAGCATTTTGCCTTGTATAAAGCTTCCCCTGAGGTAGTGAAAGAGATGATGGGGTAAGGACATTTGTTCTTGGAGTAAGAGGTTTCTATTTGAGCAACCAGAGAGAAGAATGAAAAAACTAGCTTTGAAATCTATGCTCTAATACAAATTCCTGGATGAGTGGCTCTTAGACTGTGGTACACCTACTTTTGTGGATGAGGATGGAAGTCGCATATGACGGTCTTATGTAAGATAAATCTAACTATATAATCTCAGACTTGATCTAGGAATCTGTTGAATCTGGAAACACAGCTGGTGTCTCAACTTCAATAGCAGAATACAGAAAGGCAATGTATTTAGAATAAGTGTCATCTAACGAGAGTGTTTTACCTTCCTCTGTTTACAGATGGCAAGTCAGGAGGCAAAAAAATCACTGTATTTAAAACTTACATCTCCCCCTGGGAACGAGCAATGGGTATCAGCCCCGAGGACAAAAGTCAGTTCACCATTGACTTACTGTCATATAGTTCCAAAGCTGATTTCCCCCATTACAAGTCTTTTAACCGGTAAGTCTTCTTCAATATTCAATTCAAGTTATTTAGCATGAGAAAATACAATAACCCTGGCCATAGCCATCCTGTCTTGTGCAATGTAAATAAGTTTTAGATGCATGTCATTTTCTTAGCACAGTCTCCTGTGGATGAAATGTTTGGAGGCCTACAAAGAGAAAATACATTAAGAGCTAGAGATTTTAATTCAGCTTATGGACAGAAAACCTATGCAGATGGATAAAAGGACTTTAATCCTATTTCCCTTTCTTTCTCACCCCATTTGACCAGGGAGATTTAGCTTGCCACTGTTTATTACTGCAGCCATTTAAAGTTCAAGAGTTAAGGAAAAATACTTGCGATCAGAAGCCATATACCTAACAGTACTTCAGATAAGAATCAAGATCTTCCTGCTGCTTCTGAGAAGAACTGAAAGTTTTATAAATATTTCTAGGGCAGCAACAATTTCCTGTTAACCTCTGTATATAATTTTGCCACCCAATTCCATAGCCTCAGGACATCACTACCCAGGACAAACCCAAATCCCACTCATTTCTGCAGTAACGCAGTGTCTGCCTCCTACATGTACAGGGTACCAACAGGTGTGAAAGGTGTATGGTTTGATAGAGATTGATGCAACAGGAGTGAAGGAAGTACGCAGGAGCAGAGGGGGGGGGGGTTGTTTTTAAATCTTTTTTAGTACATAGGCAATGGACACATATATGTTCTTGGGAAGGATTTGTTGGCCAGTGAGCTGCAACAGTGGTAAAATTTACAGTCTTGATAACTTTGATTATTTATTTTCTAAATCCTGTTGTTTACCTATGCTCGGTTTGCTAACTCCATGTACTCCCTTGTGCCAGGACTGCCATGCCTTACGGGGGTTATGAGAAAGCAGCCAAACGGATGACCTTCAAAGTGCCTCAGTTTGATATTTGCCCTTTGCTTTCAGAATCTCTCATGATATATAATCAAAATTTCAGCAACAGACCCTCCTTCAACAGAACCCCAATACCTTGGATGCCTTCGGGAGACTCCTCTGAGTACCATACTGAGGTCAATGTGCCAAGGAGTGGTGAAACAGAAGAGCTGTAAATCCCCACCACCAAGGCCGCCTTTTTTTCTCAGCCCCTTCTATTTGCAAGTTGATAGTAAGGGCCTGAAAAATGCAACTCTAGTTCTGTAAGCCCTTCCTTTCTTTTGCCCTTAGCCCAGACAAGTTCCTAGAAGGTTCTAAACTTATCTTCATGGTGGTGTTAATCCATATCAGAAACAGTTTCAGGGAAAGGAGCTTTTTATTCACCAGGGCGTAAAAGGGCAAAACTAGGAAGTGTTTTTCTGTTTAGCAATGCTAAATGCTGCCTGTCTGCTCCACAATAAATCTGTTTGTCATGTATTAACAAGTAATAAAACACCAAGAGAAAAAAAAGCCTTCATGTTTTCTCTTTAAAAAATGCTGCTGAATCAATTTGGGGATTAGCAATAACAAAAGTTTCAATCTCACAGCTAGACTGTTAGCATGGGAAGAAAGATTGGGGACTGATGGGGATGGTCATAAGATAGGTATACATCAAGGAGGCTTGGATAAATACTGCAAAACTGATGGTGAAGAATGATGACTTTGAGAGGAAATGATACAGGTAATCATAACAGGATCAGAGCTAAAACAGCAAGTCAGCCTATCAGTGTAACAGACAGATGAAAGTATTTCACTGTCACCTAAGATTCCCCAATTCTCCAGAGTATAAAAGCGGTGATAGCTTAAGAAGTTGGTTTTTTTTTCACACAGAGACCAAGGCGGCAATAGGTTGGGAAGGAACAGAGGCACACCCAAGTGAGATGACTTGCCCATAGTTACAAAGCAAGAAAGAAAAAGCTTTAATTGCAACAGAGATAATTTGACACCCACCACAGTGCATTACTTATTCAAATACACAGCATCAAAGTCTATTCCATTTCTTCTAACAGTTTTAGCAATGCCACACATACAGGCAGAAGGACAGACACTGTGGAAAACCAATAAGGAACTTTATTTTTCTACACGAAATACCTTCTGTTTCATGAACATTTGCACTCTGACACATAACGTACAAGACTGCTGTTTCACTACCATACCCTAGCTCAGCCTGTATGGAGACTGGTTTAGAATTCTCTGTCCTGGTGCCATCTTTAAATCAACATTTCCTCTTATAAACAGGGCTAAACAGCTAGCTTACTGCGACAGCTTCCACTGAAGTACTTTTAACTCAGGATTTTTTCCTCCTGGTCTAGAAATCCCTGCAACCATATATTTGGGGTTTATTCTGTTTGGATAGTTATGAAATGGGCTTTATTACACTCCTTTAAAAGGCTACTGCCCAAGATCTGTTAAAAATTGTGCTAATAATAACAAGCTGCAGAAGTAATGAATGAGTAGCTTCCTCACCTTTCCGCTGAAATGGCTAAACATTTATTATATGTCCTATTAAATGATTAAGAAGTATCCATGGAACTCAGTTCTGTGAATAAACTTAAAAACATTAAGGTGGTACTTTGATCTTTGGAAAAAAATCCAACAAAAATGAAAAAGGTTGTCTTTTTTGACATGTTCCTGTGAAGTATTTGAAGTTTGAGTCGAAAACAAATCCTCAGAAAAACTTGTTTATTTGGATAAAACGGATCCAGGAATTAGTTGAAAAGACATTTCCCACATTGATTTCCTTTTTTAATGCCTACATAAATACATGCAAATTTCACTGGTGAAAGACAATTAAATGGGAAATTCTCACATCTACTTAACTATTAGTTTATTCTGTAATAGATCTCTGTCTGGAAATAAGGTTGCTATGGGTTTTCCAACATTTTTAATCAATCTAGCTTTTTCAAATGCATTGTAATTAAGTGGGAGGGATTTCTTTTCCAGTTCAAAAAGTATTCTAACTATATTACAAGAATCCAGGCTACAAAGAGAATGTCAGAAGTTCAGAAGGACAGACGAAATTTCAGGGAAAACTAGGTACACTAAGGAAAATATTTTCCCACAAGATATGCCATTTATTGCCTCCCCTTTTCTGACCTGGATTTTAGACTTTTGTAATACAGGATTACATGATTTTTTAAAGTGAAATACATGATGCTTTCATGGTAAATATGTCAGGAGCAGCAGAAACAAGGCAGTTTGGTACCTGGATGTCATGGTCTATTTTCAGTAGCAGGTGTTACAGATCATGGGCCAGTTAGACATGTCAAAGAGGGCTGGCTGCTCTGAGGAGGGGTGAGCCCCAGGCAAGCCCAGCAGAGGCAGTGCCCTCACCAACCAGCACACAAGCCCACCACATCAGAGTATGGCAGGCAGAGCTGAGTGCTGGTGACAGGGTCTGTCAGTCATCCCAGACATGGAGAGGGCATGAATCGGGCACAGGGTCTATCCAAGGAGTCTGGTCAGGAGCAAAAGGAGGCAGGGCTGGACACAAGCTACACTGTGGGTCCACAGTCCATCTAGGAGACAGGCTAGCTCCAGCACAGGTCTCGGGTCCACCCAGGAGACAAGAATGCAGGCCAGCACCCCTACAACATAGCTGACAGAAGGGGCCCAGGCCCAGGCCTGAGCTTAAATGGGGTTTCTGGGCCGTAAGTGGGGTAAAGGTCCCAAGTGAGGCTGGACAGGGCACCTAAGGGCTGTTGGTGCATACAGGGCAATGATACCAAAATGACTGGGAATTCCAATATAATCACAACAATCATTTGAGTTCTACTGGAGCATAGAAAAAAAGGACTAAATAAAATAGGTCCTTAAATATGCAGGGAAATATAAGAAATACTGTGCAGAAATAGCACAGTGCTCTCTGGTGGTGTAGTTTCAAAGTTCATGTGTACAAGGAAGGCAGCATCATCCAGCAGGTAGGTCAAAGGACTGGGTATATACCCAAAGCTTCTCTCTGGTTCATAATGTACTGTTGGACAAGAGTTTTCATCTGTGCACTCCATTAGCCCAAACCCTAAGTGGGGATAAAAAGTTGCAATGTGCTTGGAATTAGTATTGTATCACTGCAAATTATTAATAATATTGCTATAATTCATACTTGTAAGCTAAGAGGATCCTTCAGTTTTGGTAATTTGCTTAATGAGGCATATAGCTCTTCTTTTGCCAGTACACTTTCAATCTCAAATCCCATCAAGCAGGATTTATGTGCTTTTGTTTCTAGTACAAAATAAGAAATACAACATTACATGTTGTAGAACAATTCAGACAACTCCTGTTTACATAGCTTAAGACACATGCTAGTTTAGTCATTATTCAAAGTAACGTTAAAAGTGAGAAAAATCAGTAATCCAAATTTGTCTCAAAAATAATTAATTTCAGTGAGGTTGCAGCTACTGTAATCAGGGCAAGATTTTGTCCAAAATGATCGAATATTTAAGAGGAAGTAAGTAACTGTTCCTGCTCTTTGTTTTCCTTGGGCTATGATGTAGACTCAGGGGAATCACCTATGTCAGAGAATTATTTATACTGGGAATAAGAGGATTTTATAAGATTTAATTACAGTGGATTTCCCCCACATACTAGAGCTACAGAATGGAAACTCAGTCATCTGCTTTTAAGCAGGATCATCGTAGTTAGAGACAAAAAAGAACTAACAAACTATTGAGCCCATCCTCTTGTAAAGGCAGGCTACAGTTCCCTCATAGAGAATGTACTGGATATTAAGCTTATACTCCATTGAACAGCAGCCAAAAATCCATTTGATAAAGAGGGGCTGGCCCATGAAAAACAGATTGGATAGAATTTTGTGACATTCAGATCTTTCATTCAGAACAAAAAGTTCTTGTATTTTTAGTTATTTACAGGATTATTTTTAGGAATATTATTTTACAGTTTCCAAGCTCTGAAATGTTTCTCTCATGTAAGGTAACTTGTATGATAAAGAATCCAAGCCACACTGAAAATGCATAAAAAAATAGTGCCCACATTTTAATGTAAAAGAAAGGTGTTTAACAAAATCTCAGCAATACTATCCATAAATATGGATTCATATGTTTTAAAATCTTGCCTGAAGATGGCTGATGGCATAAATATTTGGCAGGTAGTAGCACAGTTGGTATGTGTTGTGCAAAAACTCTTCCAGTTGACTGCAATGTATTCCATAATCAAAGGGTTTGCATCTCATAATTGTCTCTCTCATGTGAGCAGCTTGCCATTACTGATGAAGATATAATTCATACAACTAACATCTGGGAATTACATTTGATGTTGTTATTGACAGAGCATTTAGAGGAGATGGCTTTGTCATTAGGCTTAGTGACTCTCTGAAATAAAATCTGGAACAGTTTCAGGCTGTTAGGAGAATATGGGCTTTGTCTTGTTTGACTTGTTTTAAAAATCATACCATGAATACATAAAATGTATTCCCTTCTAATATACAAGATGGCAGGCATCAGACAGCCAAGAGCCTGAACACGATCGTTCTGTTATGGAGCAACCAGGCCTGCATGTGGCCATCCCTCCATGGGAAGCGCTGACTTGTGGTGTAAGGCTTGAACATTCACTGCACTGAGGTTTTTTCCTGCCTAGCTTGCCTGCAAGTATATGTTCTCTTCCACAGAAGACTGCCACAGGTGTGATCATCTGGCAAATGCCCCACTTCCAAAGCACTGTTTCTTGGCACAACAAGCTGCTGTTAGCACTTTTCTGGCAACTTATGGAGTCCACTGCTGCCCATCTGGAGCACATATGCTAATTTCTCTTGAATGAGTATTAGAAAAGTTTGCAAGCCAGCCTGCTGGCTCACAGCACATTAATACATTTATATGCAATCTCATCTATGCCCAAATCCTCAAACTGCAGGTTACAAACTAGTTTAGACAAGTTGCCTATTCTGTCTTGGAGATGTGCCTGACCAGCACCACAGATAATCAAGCAGAATTTGCAGACACATGCAGAAGCAAGATTGCACGCATTTTGTGGAACCCTACAACTTTTGTGAACTGCCGAGTATGTGGGATTTGAGAGACTATTAATCATATTCATGGCATCATATATCTACTAGTAAAAGTCTCTTCAGCTTATGTAATTAATTAGCAGTGCCTTTATGCTGTACCTCTTGCTCTCTATGTATTTAACACACAGTTAAGTGTCATCTTCTCTCTGATGATCATCTTCTGCTTGCAGTACAGCTTACACAACGCT